GGTGGGAAGAGATAGCATGGGGAGAAATGACAGATACAGGTGAGGGGACGGAAGGAAGCAAAGCACACTGCCATGTGTGTACCTATGCAACAATCTTGCATGTTCATCACATGTACCCCAAAACCTAAAATGCAATAAAAAAAAAAGAAAAAAAAAAGATGTCATCGATAATAGGATATAGAATTGAAAATTAATAGAATTTCAAAAATAAAAAATATAGTCATTAAAATTGAAAACTCTGTGGATGGGGTAAGGAGCTTAAATACTACCTATGAAATAATGATTGGAAGATAAGGCTGAAGAAATTACTCAGAATGCAGCAAAAGATACAAAGAGATAGAAAATAGGAAGGAAAAGTTAGGAGACATGAAGAATAGAGGCAGGAGTAGCATACATCCAATTGTATTTCCAGAGGAAGATGACAGAGAAAATGTGAGAGATGAATTTTTAAAGATAAAATGTCTGAGAGTTTTCCAGACCTGATGAAGAATCCCAATCCTCAGATTCAGGAAGTTCCGCTAATCCCAAGCAATATATTAATAAGTGAAAAGAAATGAACATCTAGACAGACAGAAACTTTAAAGCAACAATGATACAAAAACCTTAAAAGTAGCCCGAGAGAAAAGAAAATTGCACTGACAGCAGATTTCCTAGCCACAGTAGAAGCCAGAAGACAGTGAGGGTAATACCTTCAAAGTGCTGAGAGGAATCAACTGTCATTCTAGAGTTTTCACTCAGCCAAGCATCACTAGGATTAAGGACCCCTCCCACCAAGAAATTTTTAGACAAAAAGAAGGGTGTGTTTACTAGCAACAAATTCTCACTGAAAAAAGCTTCTAAAGAAAGATGGAAAGTGAACTCAGAGGGAAGATTTGAGGTGCAAGGGGCAAGAATGATCAGAGGAATTGGTAAGCATGTGGTTAAATCTAAATAAACACTAACTGCATACAATAATAACAACAACTTGGGGGTTAAGACCAAGTTTGACCTAAAATATAAACAATTAACATGTAAATTAGGAGACATAGTGGCCAGAGTTTTAAAGCTCCTCTGTCGTTTAGGTAGAGAGTGGAGACATTGATTTTAGATTTTGTTAATAATGAATATTAAAATGTTAAGGATTCAAGTTGGTTGCATAATAGCACTCAGAAAATATGAGTGATTTAAAAATTCAACATTTGGCCTTACATCCTTACTGAAATATCCACTAAAAATTGAAAGAATCACAATGAAAAAATTTTAAAATGTTAAGGGTAATCTCTAAATGAATAGAAACAAATTATATAACTTAAATATGGATATGAAAACTTTCTGAATTCTAAAGAAGGCAGGAAGAGAGAAAAAAATAAGCAGAGAGCTCAAGACAAGATAATAGTAATTAACTAAAAAAGTTTGTAATTACAAGAATATTAAATACACTGAACTTACCATTCAAAAGACATATTTTCAGTTGGGATTAAAAACAACGAAACCCATCTACAAGTTGTTTATAAGAGACACAAAACAAAGATACACAGAGAAGTTGAAAGTAAATGAATACCTAAAAGTGAACTAGGTAAGCAGTTACCAGAAGTCACTGATTCTTGTACAGCTATATTAATATCAGATAAAATACTTTTTTTTAGGAAAAAAGGATTATGGGGGAAGGAGGTTTGGTCACTATGTAATAATAAAACGTGCAATTCACTGAGAAGATATAATTGCTTTAAGTCTGTATACCTCGAATAACATAGCCTCTAAGTACCTAAAGGAAAATGAGGGCAAATTAAGATGAATTTTATATGTCATCTCTGAGGATGAAGATAAAAACTATGAAAGTGTTGTGTAATTGAATAGACTATCTATTATCTTCCCAGATGTCCTTCTTTTCTGATAAGGTTTCCCAGGAATTTATATCAGAAATAAAGTATAACTAATAAAGGCTCTAAAATGTGGAACTGGCTAAGTGGAGGCTTAATTGAAAGCAATGAACATTTATCTCATATGGGGATATCTGGTTCATGTGGTAGCAAAGAAGTTGATTAAATTATTGTCCCTTGGGACAATGTCAACTCGCCAGAGAGGCTGGAGCTTTAGGCAACTTGGCAACAAAATATCAGGAAATCAGAGCATGTTGAACTATTTAAAATGTCTTCATGAAGGGATACCAGAGACAAGGTCCAGGATAAAGTAAGCACTCCTGAAGCAGAAAGCGAATAAGCAAGAAAATTATGTAGCTTTTAAAAGAAAGGGATGGATCTGTTGCTTATAGCCAAGAATCTAAGACAGCCAAGGGCCAGAAAATCATGAGCCTTGTGGGATGGTAGCTGCTGCAAGATATGCTTACTCTGTTTCTAAAGCTGTCCAGACAACTGAAGAATCCTGGCAGTTTTAATGAAGACAATGGAGAGTAGTCCTAGGCATTAGGCTACCCCTACAAACCTTACCTCTCCCTTGGGATAACGGTAGCGATATTTATCTTGGTCTCTCAGTGCAAATTCTTCAGGGTAATGTTCCTGGATTTCTTCATAGGTCATCTCCTCACAGACACCCTGAGAAAAAGTATTTGGGGGCAAAAGTGTTCACAAGATGAAATTCCACAGAGCCTTTGCCATAATTCTTCAATGATTGTGGAACAGCAGCACATGAGCACCTGGGTCTCTGAGAACACAGCTCTGGGTTTGTGCCTGTTGTCTATAAGTTTGTGTGTGTGTGTGTGTGTGTGTGTGTGTGTGTGTGTGTCTGTGCATGAGGTGTGTGGCTGTGTGGATGTGACACTGAGTGTATGTGGACAGATGTTTTCAGGCTGAGTGTATGATTTTTTTTATGATTATACAGATAGGTCTGTAAGTGTACATTATACATCTAAGTATGTATTTTTATAAACTTATGGGCATAAGGATTTATGGCTGTGTTTACAAGTCTGTGTACAGCATGCCTATGATATGTACTTGTGGTATGTTTAAGGCCTTATGCCTTGTGTTTGTGTATTTATCTCAGCATATGTTGTGTACTTGAGAGTGTGTGTGTGTGTATGTGTGTGTGTACAGGGTGTCTGAGCATCTGAGAATGTGTCCATGTGGTCTTTCCATGCAGGTCTTAGTGTGTCTATAGTGTGTGTGTCTGTTAATGTATATGTCCCTCATTATGTCTCTGGTGTATATGTGAGCGTATCTGTGTGCCTGTGTCTGAAGACCTCTACCTTGGGAACTCTGGCAGATAAAGAAATAGGTAACAACAGGCATCTCAGAGAGGAAAAATCAGTAAATTCTTAATGGTTTCAGAGTGGATTTGGGGGAGATACACTCTTTTCACTCAAAAAACGAATTGACTGCTCAGAGAATGTTCCTCAGGAGCTTATGTGAGATTCCAAGTCTACAGAGAAACTCCCAGAGCTGAGGTGACTGCTGATGGTGATGGAAAGTGATTCTGGGTTTCTAAGGTTTCCTTCTGGGTATGTGGATTCCAATTAAACCTCACTGTAGGGGGCCAGTGGCCTCTGGTTGTTGTCCATTGGGCCCATCTACCATGCCCCCCTCAGGGGTGAGGAAGTGAACCCCTACCTCAACCCACAAACATCTCTGCAGTGTGAAACTTCTCCAACCCACACTGCCCATGGAAGAAAGTGTACCCTACTGGGTACTCAAGGTCCTTCCAGATTGGCTTCAACTTTCTATTCTGAGGAGTACTTGGAAGACTGTTGCCTGTGAAAATGGTCATTGACTCCTTATTGAATCAAATTGCTTAACCTCTCTGAATTTTACTTTCCTTATCTGCAAAATGTGGAGAATTAGAACTACTTCGTAGAAGTGTTTTGAATATTGGAAAAATGTAAGTAAAAGATATTAGTACAGAATGTGCAAGGGACATTTTAAAGACTCAATCAATAGACTCAAGTATTAAGTAGCAATCATGGAAAATAAACCAGAAACTTAAATTTCTGCTTTATCATCATTCTAAATTCTTGCCTCTTCTTCATTCACCCCTCATATCCAATTCCTGAGATTTTACCTCCTAAATCTCTCTCAAATTGATTTCTTTTTTCCTCCTCTCCATTTGTACTACTACAACCTTAGCATTTCCACACACATAAAATACCCTCTTTGTTTATGAAGTTTCCGATCCCTGTCTCTCTGCCTGGATTGTCATTCTTGATCCTTTCTACTTGGTTCACTGTTACTCAAATCTGGGGCTTCAGCTAGGTATCACTTCTTCCAGGTAGATCATAGCTGAGTTAGGTGTCCTGCTCCAACTTCCATGCACCCATAGTCTTGCCTATCAGAGTCTGTATCACACATGCTGTTCTCTCTTTCTCTGTTTATTCCTCTGTCCACCCTATTTAGCCTGAACATTCAGTGAAGACAGGGATGAAATAGATCAATCTCTACCTCTAGCACCACTCCAGAACCTGAAACAAGGAGGGGTTCAATAAATGTTTATGCCACACGTGGGCCAGAAATAAGCAGCCACCAAACTTATGATAAATAAATTTCACATTTGCTTACATATATTTTACAGCAAATGTATGTCGTATACAGGACAATGCTGTATGGCCCTTTTCTAACCATGTGTATCTCTGTACCTCTATATTTATATACTCGTATGTATGAATGTACACACACACACATACGTGTCTGTTTCTACAGAGGCATATCTAGCAGGCAAGTAAGTTAACCTACCCACATGCAAGTTACTTACACCTGTGGTAAAGCTTTTATGTTGATGCCTAACAATCTTAACCTGTGCACTGCTGCTCGGTGCCATTGTACTTATAGTGCAGGTAAACAATGGAGAGGAAACAGCTCCTTTCTCAAAGAGCTCATGGAAGAACCTAACCCTGAACAGACATTGCTATACCACCAGAGTTGGGTCCTTCACTTCTCCCTCTTCTTCATCCCTTACAGCCAGTGCACCATCAAGTCCTGGTGTTTCCACCTTAATGTGTTTTTTGGAGACAGGGTCTTGCTTGTCGCTCAGGCTGGAGTGCAGTGGCATGATCACGGCTCACTGAAGCCTCAGCCTCCCAGGCTCAAACCATCCTCCATCTCAGCCTTCTGAGTGGCTGGGGTTACACGCATGCACTACTACACCCAGCTAATTTTTAAATTGCTTGTAGAGATGGGATTTCACTATGTTGCTCAGGTTGGTCTCCAACTCTTGGGCTCAAGAGATCCTCCCACCTAGGCCTCCCAAAGTGCTGGGATTATAGGCATGAGCCACTGCACCTGGTCTGATTCCACCTTTGAAACATTCCCAAAGTCCTTCTTCATTCCATCTCCAATGCCACTACTCTGGTCCAACATGCCCCTACATCTTGCCAGACTAATGCAGTCAACTTCTTACTGGTTTACATGTTCATACTGGCCTTCTTCCCACCAAGTTTCCACACATGCCCAGAGGGGGCGTTCTTTAAAAAATGTGCATCACATTCAGACTACTCCTCCTTGATGTGGACCCCATCAATGGCTTCCCATTGTTGTTAGGGCAGCATTTGAATCCTTCAACATAAACTATAAAGCCTGGTGGCCTGAATTCCTTTCCAGCCTTATTTCCCTTTTCTCCAGATCTCACTATTGCTGTCCCGGCCTCTGTGCTATTCTTTCCTTCAGTTCCCTGAACTTGCCAGGCTCTCTTCTCATCTCTGGGTCTTCACATATGAACTGTTTCCTGTTCCTGAATTAAATTTATTTCCTCACTCCCCAGACCATCTTGCCTCCTTCTTATATCACCTCTAGCTCCCTGCAAGAAGCTTTCCTTGTAAATCCCCCACCACCAAGTCAAGTCAGGAGCACCCTCACCTTCTGATCCTCCATAATCCCTTGTACTTCTCCTCTCATAGCCTTTTGTTGCACTGAGATGTAATGTCCTATTTACTGTCTGTCTTTAGGATGAGGGCAGAGACTTTGTCTATTCTGGCCTTCACTGGATCCCCAAGACAGAATAAGGTCTGGCACATGGCTAGTTGTCAAAAATGTTTGTTGAATTAATTAGGTCCCTCATAGAGGCTGGAGCAGAGGCAACTCAGGGGATAATCCCAGTCTCAAGCCACTCCCCCCACACAGGAGCTTCACCCCATGCATCTCACCGCATCAATCTCATTCAGGGCCTTCCACTGCTCATAGGGGACACCCAGGGCCTCAGCTGTCTGGATGGTCCTCTTCATGTGACTGGTCCACACCTTCAGGGAGCTGATGCCCTGAGACTGAATGAAGTTGGCCAGGGCATAGGCATACTAGGGTATGGGGATGCAGAGGAGGAGAGAAGGGGAAAAGGAGAGGTGAGAGAGAACATGGTGGCCATGAGAACAAGCTTAGATCTGCCACAAATTGAGTGGTGATGAACAAGCAAGCGCAAAGAGTTTAAATGTTCCAAATTTATAAAAAGCCATACTCTTTCCCATGTGATGGTGGGCCAAGGGAATAGAAAAGATCATGAGAGAGAGAGAGAGAGAGAGAGAGTGTGTGTGTGTGTGTGTGTGTGTGTGTGTTCATTGATGATTGCTCACCAAAGCCCATACTTGGTTATTTATTCATTCAAGCAGACCCACCTCTAAAATTTGTGGAGCCTGAGACAAGAAGACCAATGGAGGCACTCCATGCACAACCTATCTTTCCATTTCTGGCTCCATCCTGCACTTCTATGTGCCTTTAGTACATGCTTACGGATAATCAAGTCACATGACTGAGTTTTGTCCACATTTCTACCTCACTGATCCCCATCCTCCACAAACAGCATTCCCTTGGTCCTGTGATATGACCTGACCTCAGGTGGACAGATGCTGGGATAGGCCCATGTAGGAACTGAAGTAGACTCTAGACAACAAGGGCAAAGAATTCTAGGGTTGGGGGTACCCAGAATATGGACTGGATGTAGGAGGTGTGGGATTTGGGAGACATTTCTCTTTGGCTCTGTGAACGTTTATTGCTTAAGCAGGGTTCCTGATACCCAGGTTCTAAGGGCATTCACACATGTATTGAGTGGTCATGCCCCTGTGCTGGGTGCTGGGGCATTCTTTTTTTTTTTTTTTTTTTTTTTTTTTTTTTTGAGACGGAGTTTCACTCTTGTTACCCAGGCTGGAGTGCAATGGCGCGATCTCGGCTCACCGCAACCTCCGCCTCCTGGGTTCAGGCAATTCTCCTGCCTCAGCCTCCTGAGTAGCTGGGATTATAGGCACGCGCCACCATGCCCAGCTAATCTTCTGTATTTTTAGTAGAGATGGGGTTTCACCATGTTGACCAGGTTGGTCTCGATCTCTTGACCTTGTGATCCACCCGCCTCGGCCTCCCAAAGTGCTGGGATTACAGGCTTGAGCCACCGCGCCCGGCTGGGGCATTCTTGTTCTCAAGACACAGTCAGTCCAGTGAGGGAAACACTGGCAGCACCGAGGGGAACCATGAAGGGAGCTAGGGATTCCTCCTCTGTGTAAACGTGTGTTGCTAATCCCACTGGTGGCATGTGGTAGGAACATGTGCACAGGTGCGTAGGTCCAGACACACATTTATAAATGTGGAAATAGGCATTTCATAATACATTTCATTATGGACATGAGTCAGCAGTCAGCATGCTCTGGTGGAAGGAGCCCTTGACTGGGAGGTAGGAGCCGTAGGTTAACCCCCACCCCCCAGCTCCCTTACATGGTCCCTTGTGCCCTCAGACACGTCCCTGCCCATCACTGGCCTCATACCATAGAGCACTGGCTCACTCAGCCTGCTCTCTGGGGGCCGCACTTTAGAAGGTGGCTGGGGAGCGCCCAGACCGAGGCCTGGTGCGTAGTGGGCGCTGTGCAAGTGAGAGCTACCTCGACGGGGACGTGCTTTGTAAACCGGGCCTGGTGCTCTGTGATGTGTGAAGGTGGCGCCCACTGTGTGCATGCACACACACGCAGGTTTGTGTCCCGGGAGGCATGCCCTGTGGAGGCAGCCACGTGTCCATCTGGGCTCTGAGCTGTTGGGCGAGGCCAGGCTGGCTCCAACCAAGACACCCCTGGCTGCAGGGGCTGCCATGGGCCGGGGTCACGCCTCCAGCGGCCTCTGACTCTGCTCTGAGGAGTGGGACGTGGGGGAGTCACGAGTCAGAGTCTACCTCCAGGGGAGGCTGCCAGTCTGGAGGTAACAGAAAAGGAGCCACCAGGACGTGGCCATCGTGGCAGCGCCTTGCCTTGGGACCTCCACCTCTCCAGTGGGGGAGCTGAGGACAGGCAGGTAGACCCGGCTTTCAGTTCTGGCTCTGTCTCATCCTGGCTGCCTGCCCTGGGGCCGCTCTCTGCTTCCTCATCCATAAACTGGTGGCAGGAATGCCCACCCCATGGAGCTATGGTGAAGATGAAGTGAGCCACACAGGCGGAAGCAGACGGCACCCTGACTGTGCATAGGTGTCCAATAAATGACAACCGTGACAACAACTGTCCTTCTTACACTTCATTTCCCACTTGTTCCACCCCTAAGTGGTCCTGTCAGCAGGAATAATACCTGTGCTAACTAGTGCAGGGCCAAATGCTGTGGAAATCAATCCCTTTATTCAGCTGGCACCCAGAACGTGCAGGTCACTGTGCTGGGCTGGGGAGGAGAGACTCAGGCCAGGAGAGCCACACACGGGCCAGAACTGGGAAAGAGGGAGCCCAGGGCATGGCAACCCACTTGGGAGGGAGGAGAGGATGGGGAGGGCTTCCTGGACCACACCATGGAGTGGGTACTGGGCCTTGGGAGTGGGGAGGGCAAGAAGGACACAGTTACAGGTGGGGACAGGGGCTGCCAGTGTGGCACCTGTGTTGGGGTGGGGTGGGGAGTGCAGACTTGGGGAGAAGAGTGATTCAAGGGTGGGTCCCTCAGGGCAGCTCTCTGTGCTACTGACAGTCACCTGCTGACAGAGGAGACAGAATAGGGTAGACTAGGTGGGGGAGCTATACCAGCAAAGGCACAGAGTCATAAGAAAGACGAGGGGACCAATCAGACAGGGTTAAGGGAGTCACTGTCATGGAGCGGCTGGCTTTAGGAAGGCCTTGGTTTCCAGGGCCAACCTCTTAGACCTGCAGAAGAGGTGGCATTGGGAGCCATTCGGCAGCTGGGTCAAGACTGAGTGGCTGAGGAGTGGAAGAGCAGGAGTGATGGAATCTGCTTCTACCCCATTGCTGGGTCCTCCCACCTTAGGACCCAGAATGTGGCCACCACTACACCTCCAGCCCACCTAGGACAGCCCAACCAACCCACCTGGGTGTGTGAGGCCCTCCCTACCTGCTTGCCGCGAACTGAGAGGCCAGAGTCACCTCCGATGCGGCCTCTGAGGTTGAGTTCACTCTCACCATGCCGGCATAGGTAGATGGAACGAGGTGTGACGTGGATATTCATGAGGTAGTAGACTGTGCGGCTCTGGATGTGATCCTGCACTCGGTTCACCATGTAGCGTGTGCCCACGTCGAAGATCTTGATGTATGACAGGTGGCTGGGCCAGACCCAAGCAGGAGCAAGGGCAGCTCAGGGGCTAATGGTGGTAGAGTTGACCCCAAGAGAAAGCCCGAACCCCATACCCTTTCAAGCCTCTCCCACAACCCAGCTGTCACTTATTGTGATGCCATGCCTTGCCCTGTTCTGAATACCTATTCTAGAGACTTGGTTGCTGGCCAACCAAAGGAGCTCATTGCATGCTATCATCTCCCATGTCTCCTTTCTTCAGCCTCAGCTTGAGCCAAACTGTCTTTTCACCTTCACTCATCCTATTACAGGCAGCTGGATTCTCTGTTCTGTGGTTCACACCCCTGACATAGTCAGAGAGAAGCAGTAATCCTTTGCATTCCTGGCTAGCTCCAATATCTTACTGGCAGCTCCTGACTTGTTCACTCCCCTACCCTTTCTGATCCTGGGTTGAGCTCTTCACCCCTCTTTTGTTTTTAGCCTCTGCTACATATTGTCCTTTATACTCTACACACAGCTACCAGATTGCATCTGTGTGTATATGTGTCTGTGTCTGTGTCTCTGAATGTGTATGTCTTGCTCTTCACTCAGAAGTGGGGTGGGCCTGGGTTATTTTCCTCTTTTCTCAGTCAACAAACAAACTGCAAACATATTCCTCTGTCCTAGGCACTGTGCTTGGCATGGAGACTCAGTGTCTGTGCTTTGGGAGCTCTTTGGCTAGTCAGGAGCATATACTTGGAAACACACGATCAGTGCTTAACATTCATTACATAAACAGTCACTCCCTCCAAGGTGTGCCAAGTAGCGGGGCATGGGGATACAGAGGTGGTCCACAACATCATTGGGGAACTTGTGGTCCTTGGCCCAAGTTCCTTACTGTCTCCTCAATTCCATGCTCTGTCATGAACTCACACCTGTACACTGAATGATAATCAAACTCTTCAACCACCATTCTGTGTAGAAGCTGGAGGGCAGAGTGTAGACACTGAATAATCAGAAGACTAGAAACATGGAGTAAGACTTCTGAGGTCTATGCTGTACCAAGCATTAAATCCTTTAGTTGTTGGCTTGTACAGAGTTCAGAGAGGTCCCTGGGAAAAGGAGTGGAAGGCTGGGGCAATGAGGTGACACCAGCAACCCTGGTTGCATGGCAACAAAACCAAGTGAATGGAAAGAGCTGCTTGAACCCGAGGCAGGTAAGGGTGCTGATAGGTTTGGTTTCAGAAAGCCTCTCCTGAGATCTTCCTACAGAAGCCCTTTATGGTTGCACCACACTCCATGCCCATCCGTGCCCAATGGCTTCCACAGGGCACTTGTATTTGTTGAACATTTTCTGAGCATCTGGTAGGGAGTGGGAACTTTTAAGTGAATGAATCTTCATAATAGTACTACAGAGCAGAGATTATCATCTCTGTTTCATAGGTGAAGAAACTGAGGCACACACCTTCTCAGGAAGAACCCCAGAATGCTCCCCTCTCTAATCATTTCTTCTAGGACCAGAGCCTAGGGGTAGAAAATATCTGATGCAAACCTGTTGCCTGACTACTAGGTCCTTTGAGGCTCTAGGACCTGCTGAATTCTTCAGCTTAATCTGATCTTCTAGTTTTGTCTTCTCACACTGGCCCCAGGTGGCCTTACATTATGGTCCCATGCCCATACCCATATCGTCTCTGTTTCATTCTTGTTTTCATACCGTTGCAATTACACTTGGAATATTTTCTGTATTTCTCTACTCTTGTTCAGATTTAACTAGGCAGTTACCAAGTGCTATTCTCTTTGCCTGATTTCCAAAGTTGAGCTGAGCTGCTATGCATTCATACCTCAAGAGCCAGCACATTCACTATCTTTAGGAAGCCTTTTCTGAAACCAGGATCATGCGAAGTCATTTAGAGGTGTTCAACACCAAAAACAGTAGAGTAGCTAATGCCTACCCCCATCCGAATTTTTAATTTTACTTAAAAAATTTAAAATAATTATAAAATAAATTTTAAATAATAAAATAATTTTAAATAAAATTTAAAAATTTTAAATAATTTTTTAAATTTTTATTTAAAATAAAAATTATAAACTATAGAATATGGGGAGGTCCTCCCAAGTTCTTGTTTTATATTTTTCCACTTTGACTACCTCGATGCTGTTTTTGAAATATCCAATATTTAAACCTTTTAAGTCAGCTGGGTGTGGTGGCTCATGCCTGTAATCCCAGCACTTGGGAAGGTCAAGGCGGGCAGTTCATTTGAGGTCAGGAGTTCGAGACCCGCCTGGCCAACATGGTGAAACCCTGTCTCTCCTAAAAAAACAAAAAATTAGCCAGGTGTGGTGGTGGGCATTTGTAGTCCCAACTACTCAGGAGGCTGAGACAGGAGAATTGCTTGAACCTGGGAGGCAGAGGTTGCAGTGAGCTGAGATTGCGTGACTGCACCCCAGCCAGGGTGATAGAGTAGGGCTCTGTCTCAATAAATAAATAAATAAATAAATAAAAGTTTTTAAGATTTGGTAGCCCCTATCTTTCTGGTACCTTATGTGTAGTCTGCCTATTGGGTAATCCAGCTCTTCTAGACCTTCTTCCTCCAAGCTAGACTGGATTCTATGTTCCTACAGTCCACTTGGTTTACCGTCACCAGAGTTGCGACCAACCGTGTACTCATTGTCTTCTCCAACTAACTGGAGAAGTTAGTTCTCTCTCATTCTGTCAAAGCAGGGACAGCCCTTTCGTCTTCTGATTCCATGTTCAGGGCTGGGCCCTGAGGCATGGACTGTGAATATCGCCTGCTGAAAAAATGATAACATAAAGCTGAACCTGTAGATCTGTCTTCTTCTGGCCCAAACTGATTCATCGAACAGCAACCTAGCACCTGTAGGAGTCTAGGCCCAGGGCTGGGGCTTTGTCAATGCCTTTCTTTCACTTATACCTCCCACCCCTAGCCTTCAGGCTCCTTTCACCATATGCCGTTAGCCCATGTTGTGCCTTTTTAATAATTTTAAAAAGTCATACTTTCCTCAGGGTCACACAGCCCTACTTCAGCACATATCTTGGTGAGAGAAGTGTGTACCCTTGACCAGAGTGCCTGTATAATGAACGATCTGCCCAACTGGGATATAGGTTCAAGTATATATTGTGCTACTGACTCATTCATTGTGTAGCCCAAGGTAAGCCTTTGACCTGATCTGGATCTCAGTTTCTCCATCTAAAGAGTGGAGCAATAACAGTGCTCATCTCTTGGTACTTCATTTGGGTAAGGCCACTCTTTAAATTTCTTAGAGTGGTGATGACCATTTGAAGCCTCTTTATACTTCTCACTTGGGGTCTCTTCTCATCGCAACACCGTTTCAAAGAGTGTAGGGTACTGGGAACATTCTACATCTAAAACTCGTATCGGCTCTCTCCTATCTTTAGTTGATATTATGACAGAGCATTTCCTGTTTTTTATAGGTCTTCTCATATGTCAAGACACCATAGAAGCTACCCGAGGATAGAACTCACCTCTTTTGCATGTATTTATACCCCCTACATATACCACACCCCAAAGGGTCCAAATACTTGTTGACTGATGAGACACGGGAACGTCGTGAAAAGAGACATGACTAGGAGCCAGAACATGTAATTAGAATCCTAGCTCTACTTCTGACCCGTGGTAGGAGCTTGGGAAAGTAATTTCAGCTCAGACTCAATTTCTTTTTCTTGACATTTTATGATCATAAGACCTATCTCAGCCTCCTTTACAGGAGTTCTAGGGGATTAAATGTAAGAAAGAAGGTAAACATGTTTGGAAACTGAAGTGTCACTCATGTGTGAGGAACACTTTTGAAATAATAATCACAACACCCACAGAAGGGGGGCATTCGTTCCCAGGGTCCTGAACTGTTCATATTGCTCAGGAAAGCACTATTTTCATAATCTTAGGAACACCTTACAGATCAAGGAATCAGAGCTGAAAGGATCCTTGAAGAAAGGGATCATCAAGTTCAATTTCCTGATGTTACAGACAGAGAAGCTGAGGCCCAGAAAGGGAGGATATTTCCCCCAGATCTTACAGAATATCAAAACTGGGCTAAAGATCTAGACCTTGACTTTGGGGTGCTGGCTCTTACCTGTCCAGTTCCTCATCCAAGGGTTGGTAGTTGACCTCATAGCACTCAATTCTCTTTAGAAAGTCTTCCAGAACCTTTTCCCGGTCACAGTCTACATAATCAGGGCTGCCAAGTTTCACTTGCTGGGAGCAGGGAGAATAGAGGTATCAAGGCAGACACTGGGAGACAGAGTCTCTGATGGTTTTCTTTGGAAGGTCCCTTAGAGACCATTGAGTACAAGATCCCTCATTATAAAGATGAGGAAATTGAGACCTGGATAACGCATCTTGCCCAAGTTTACAAAAATCAACCAATTGAAAAGAAGCTGGATTGTGACTCCTCATTCCTAATCTCTGTGTGGTCAAACAAGGCCTGTTATATTATACTTAGTGCCAGAGCACACAATGCTTATAAAAGAAGAACATTTATAAGAGGACCAGAAATTGTGATGTGAGGGCTGGGCGCGGTGGCTCAAGCCTGTAATCCCAGCACTTTGGGAGGCCGAGGCGGGTGGATCATGAGGTCGAGATCGAGACCATCTTGGTCAACATGGTGAAACCCCGTCTCTACTAACAATACAAAAAAAATTAGCTGGGCATGGTGGCGCGTGCCTGTTATCCCAGCTACTCAGGAGGCTGAGGCAGGAGAATTGCCTGAACCCAGGAGGCGGAGGTTGCGGCGAGCCGAGATCGCGCCATTGCACTCCAGCCTGGGTAACAAGAGCAAAACTCCGTCTCAAATTAAAAAAAAAAAAAAAAAAGAAATTGTGATGTGAGAAATGGCTGAAGAAGAGGAACTAGAGCTCTTGGCCAGGGGTCATTATGGCTGACATGTATCAAGTGTTTACCAGAAGATTACGACATGCTGTCTTCGGATTTCTGAAGACTGGCCTCTCCTAATCCACCAATACCCACTGTCTCCTCCCACAGTCCTCATCTCAGGTACTAGCACTATTATCCACCCAGTCATCTGATCCTAAATAAAACTTGGGAGTCATCCTAGATATCTGTCTTTTTGTCATCCCTCACCTCTTAGTAGGTACCAAATCCTCTCTACTCTATCATTTCCTCTAAATATCGATTCTCTCTTGTTTGTTCTCACTATAGCTTTGTGCCCAATTACTTTGACTATAGTCTTTTCGCTTCTAATGTATTCACCATATTGGCAGCCAGAAGGATATTTCTAATATGAACACCTGGCCAAAGTATTCTCCTGCTTAAAACCCTTCCACATTTCATCATGCCTTTTAGAAAAAAGTGAGAATTATTTCAGCAGGTGGCTCATGGCTTGTCATGATTGGGGCCCATATTATTTCTTCATCCTTATCTCCCACGGCTCCCCTATCCCTCCACACATTTGGTTTTAGCCAGTTTAAGTTACTTATAGTTCTCTGGAGATGCCATACTTAGTATATGCTTATATCCTTATTTTCCATTCTTCACCCACCAAATTCCTATGTGTTCTTCAAGGTGCCATTCATTTTAATTTTGCCTCCATTAGGAAGGCTTCCCTGACTTCTGTCCCCATGCAAAGTTCAGCCCTTAGCACTGTGTTCCCAAAGCTTCCTCTGTTCCCTCATATCACGTCAGCTCAGAGTTCTGTATATATACTTGCCAGTCTGCCTCACTAGACTGTGTGCTCAAGGGAAGGACTCTCCATATCTATGTCTCTAATGCCAAGCCCAGGTATATATTCAATTTCTGTTGAATCAGTAGATAGATAGATAGATGGGGGGATGAAGAGGGAAGAGAGAAACTGGACCTGCTGCATGTCCCAAAAGGTTAAAAAATGACTAATTAATAAAAACTATAGGGAGGCAGATTCCAGCTTGACTGGACAGCATTTGTTGAAAGCAATGGGGCCCATTTCATTGCAGGTATAAAAAAATCCAGATACACATTTAGGTAAGATTTCAAGTATCTGATGGAGGGTAGCAGAAAATTACCTTTAAGGTCTCTTCTGTTCTTGAGCTCCAGTAATTTGATGAAGTAGGGAATAACAAAATGTGGTAAATGACCTAGTTCTAGACCACATGCCTAGAATCTAAGACCACGGATAGTTCTGGTTTGAATTTTGGGGCAGAATGCAAAACGTAGGCTTTCGAGGCAGGCAGCCAAGCCTGAGGTCCAGTCCCACTTCTGTCCCTTTCTGTCTGTATGAATTTTTGACAATTCATTTCTCCTTTTGGACCTTTCTAACCTCAGCTTCCTCTCTCTTACATGGAAATAACCTCTAACATGCAGGTTTGTTGTGAAAAATTAGTGACAGTCAAGCTTGGTACCTGGAGCATACAAAGGACACGATATATGTTGGCTTCATTAAAATTAAGAGTCATTGTAAGCCAGGATGGTTAGGGAATGCTTCCTATGCAAACTAGGAGGAGAAGATCAGGGAGGAATCCTTTCTTTAATCTCATAGAGGTGCCTTAGGCATAATATCATCTCTGCCTTAGGCATGATCTAAGCCTAAGGCAGAGCAAAGTGGAAAGGTAACTGGTTCTCCTTACCCTGATGTTTTCTGCAATTACGCCAGGGTCATTACAAATGGACTCAATGAAAAAGACCTACAAAAGAAACAGAAAAGAGATTTCCAGCAGGAAATTATGTTTGGTAGGAGCTGAACATACCTTTACTCATTTTCAGTAGCTCTAAGTCATCTTCAGGGGCATCTCTGACAATATAATGCTCTCATACAGTGGTGTTTTGAGGCTTCTGAGTTTCATGAGGCATATTGACTTTAAATTGAATGGCCCCAGATTGTTTTATATCTTTACTGGGTTTAGGTCTTATATAAGCTTTTTGTAGTGACTCTCTCCACTCTTTCCCCATAGCCAGCCTGTCTGCAGTCATCTTCCATTGCCTAACGTGGAATCCCTCTTTTCTCGTTCTATTGGCTGCTTCTGGCTATATCCTGGAAAGTTAGAAAACCAAATTAAAATGCTGAGCTTATGGTAGCTGATTTGGCTGCTCTGAGTCCCCTAGTTTGCCTTTCTTAGGGGTTTGTGCTTGAGAAACAGGCTCTAGATAAGAGTTGGAGCATTACCATACCTTGTAACCATGTTCTTTTGCAAACTGCAGGATCAGTGACCTTCGTTCTCTGGTGGTATTGGTGGCATCAAAAACCTAGAGGCAGGTAATGAGACTGGCTTACTCTGAATCTAGCGCTAGTAGAATATCTACTTTTTGCCCATCCCTGTGCTAAGTGGAGGGCTTCCATATGGAGGTAGAACTTGAACAAAGTCTTGAAGGATAGGAAGGAGTCAGAATTGGCTTATGACAATTTCACAAGCACACATTGGGCCCTTACTGTCTGTCCAGAAATGTATGCTACCTTGTGAGTGTAATAAGGCAAGAGGAAATTGTAGGTTTTTATTAGGATCATTTTATAGGTGAGGTAACTGAGGTCTAGAAGAACTTGCCTTGACCAAAGTCACTGTGAGGTGCTGACAGAGCAGAACTAGAACTGCTTCTCTCAATTCCTAGCTAAAGCTTCTTCCTTCCATATCACTTTAGAAGTCCACAACAACAGTAAGCAATTCCCTATCCTCAGCACCTGAGATTGGACCATTTGCATATTTGAGAATCTCCTCACCTTTTAGAATTTGCAAATCCTAAGCCAAAGGTCTATGATTTTAAATTGAGTAGATATTTAGGTAAATCTCTAGACCTCAAAACTGTTTGTACTGCAGTTTTAAACTCTTAATGTAGTCCTGCTGACTTATTGGGGGTGGACTGGTAGTACACAGTGGTTAACCGCGGGGATTCTGAAGGTACACAACGTGGATTCCATTTCTGGCCCTGCCAGGTATATGTTGTACTATTTGGGGAAATTATTTAATGCCTCTGTGAGCCATTCTTCTGGGCTCTGAAATGGGGCATAATGACAATATCTATCTCAAGGGGGGAGCATGAAATTAAGTTATTAATATATACAAAGTACTCAGAACAACAGTAAATGTTCAGGACATATTAGCTAATCCCCTTCCTAGCAGATACCCAAGGGAAAAGCAAAAATTTCTTTACCGCAACATGACCTTCCTCATGGCTGAGATAGTTGTGAACATCCTTTAGGGCTGCCAGGGCGCACTGCCTGAAATAGACCAGGAAAGAAAAAGAGACAACCCTTATCCCCCAGGATGGATATCTCTCTCTTTGTCTGCAGTATCTTCTGTACCATCACTCATGTCTTCAACTAACATCTACACAGAGTGCCCTATTCTTTAGGCACCATACTAAACACAGAGGCATCAAAGAGTTGAAAGTGGCTCTGTGTGCACAGCTTACACAGCTTAGGGGCAGGTATAAAGTGACACAATCCGGAAAAGCTGAGCAATGACAGAAGCCATATTAAGGGCTCCAATCCTTGAGCTAATGGAACTCAAGCTGAACTGTTTTATGAACCCAGGTAGAGCACGTGGTCTGTGAAGTAAAAGGCATTCCTGGCATAGGTAACACAAAGGCATGGCAGTGGCAATGTATTTATGCTTTAAGCAAAAATGTCCTTAATGATTACTCACTGCTGGGTTCTATAATGAGGGCATGAGGCCTAGGCTCTGTTCTGTATTCAGAGTCTTGTAGGGTAGAGAGACCTTGAGGTTGAATTGATAAGCCTGGAGAAACTAGAGTGGGCCAAGCTATTGAGATTCTTCTCTCAAATGCTAAGCTGAGAAGTTTCTACACTCTCCTGTCAGAAGTAGAAGACCGTTAAAGGTTCTTGATATGTGGATGGTTATGACCAGAAACAGGCTTTGGGCAGGATAATGGAAGGGCTGTTCCAACTACTGTTTGAGAGTCTAGAGGGCCTCACTTTCTGGTGCAGATTTTTCTGCCCTACTTCCCCAATATCTGAATAAGGGCCTTTCACCACGAGATAGCACAGGTTCCTAAAATATTGAGTACTTACTTCCTGATTTGCAGGGCCTCCATGTTGTCTGGAAGAAAGAATTCATAGTTCTTGTAGCTCACTGCCTCTCGTCGATACTGGCCTAAATTAAACACTGAAAGCAGGGAGTGCCAGTGAAGAGGTTGGGAAGATCCCAGTGGCCAAAAAATGTCCTTGCTGGGAGGGACCTCAGAGGTAGAAGAAGGTATAATTTGTAGCTATAAAATGTGCTTTAAAAACTACAATTATGGCTACCAGTTTATTTATTCCTCACAACAGCCCAGAAAGTAGAGATCACTATTACCATTGTATAAATGAGGAAACTGTGAAAGTTATTTCCTATACGTGGAGATCTGAGATTCAAACTCAGATCTATTTGGCCCCATAGCCGACGGTCTTTCCATTATTCTACTTTATCATAAACGCCAATCCTTAAAATGTCCTACTCCAGTGGAAAGATAAAGAAACAGAGATCTAGGAAGTAAAATTGATCACCAAGGGTCAAACACTGAGTGAGCTGGTGACAGATATAGACTGGACCTCCTGATTTCTAGTCTAAAGTTATTTTGTTTTCCTATATTATGAGGGAGATTCTAAATCTAACTCTCTAAGCCATACTTACAATGATGAAAAACTAGAGAGGAGGGAAGGAAAGGAGGAGAAAGAGGATAAGCAGCCAAATAATTAATATTTTATTCATTCATTTAACAAATACTTTTTCATTCCTACTCTGTGAAGCAGGATATGAGCTCTGGGTCTCATAGATTAGCCCGATCTTCATTATGGGGACCTTAAGGCACTCACAGTCCAACAGGTAAGACAGCGAGTAAACTAGTAAGCAGAGAGCTCCCACAGAGTTCATTAAATGCTCTGACAAAGACAATATGAAGCCATGCAAGAGAGTGAGAGGGAAGGAAAAACTAATTGTACTTGGAATGATCTGAGAAGTTTTCACCATTTGAATCAGGCTTTTTAGGATAGGTGTCTTTTACAGGCAGGTATGCGCAGGGGAATCGGAAACAAAGGCATTCCAGGGAGAGGAAGAGCTTGAGCAGGAGTATGGCACTGGCAGAAGCAAAGCATGTTTGGAAGATGGTGAGTCAACCACTATAGCTGAGGCCTGAGATGCTGAAAGGAGCCAACTGTGGAGGGCCTTGAACAACAGGCTAAGGAGCTTGGATTTAAACCTGCAGGCTAAGGGGACCTTTGGAGGCCACAGGCATGTTCAGCTTTGTGCTTTGAAATGTGACTCTGGAGGCCTTTGAGAGAATTGAGTGGAGTGAAGAAGAAAGATAGCAGGAAAATCAGGACAGAAATTCATCTGCCAGTGTCTCACGTGCCTCTACACTCAGCAGATTTTCCTTAGAGCTTGCAGTCCTCCATGAGAGCTGTTCCTTCTCTCCTTCCCTTCTGCCAATGTCGCATTCCTCCCACAAGACTCAGCTCCAACATATCCTATGTAGGAAGCTTTCCTTGCTTTCCAGTCAGCAAATCCCTAGGTGATTTCATGCAGCACCCTGCTCCCGCTCTAGAATTCCTAGATAATGTGAGGTATTCTTATACATCCCAGCTAGACTCAGAACTCCTCAAGGACAGGGTGCGAGTCTCATCCATTTTTGTATCCGCATTGCCTAGCAGGGGTTTGGACACGTGAAAAACCATTGGGAAACTCTTCACCAGTGAATTAGATAAAGAGAACATAGATGAATGGAAAGAAAAAATGGGAAAAAGAAACAAAAATTGGGGAAAGGAAGGTAGATAGGGAGAGATAGAGGGAAGCGGGGCAGAGAGACAGGATGTTGAGATTAACAAGAAAAAGGAGAGAAAAAGAATGGAGCAAAGGAGACTATAGGGCTAATGTGGGATTCTTTTCTCTTCCAATCAGTAGAACCATGCATTAGACTTGGCACAGTGAATATCAGGCTTAGAACCAAATAGATCTGGGTTCATATCCTGGTTCTCCCACTTACTGGCCATATGCCTTTAGACAAGGCACTTCACTTCTTGGGTCTTAATTTCCTCAACTATGAAACGGTGAAGAAGTGGTAATGCTAATAAAAGTTGTAATATTGGTATGGCAATAATAGTAATGGCAATAAAAATAGTATGTTACTCACAGGATTGTTTTGAGGTCATGGAACTTCTTGAGAGAAGACATTTAATCTGAATACTAGTTTTCCTATGCCTAGCACCTAGCATGGTGTTGGGCACAAAGTATGTGCTCCAGAAGTCCTAAAATGTATAAGAATATAGTCATAGTGATAGCAGTAATTCTGATGTTGGTAATAATAATGATGGGGCATTTCTGGTATTGAGGACTTTGGCCTTCTACCTAAGTAAGGTTTTCAGCCAGTGGCTTTTATAGGGTTGTTGAACAAAGGCTTTCAGAGACATACCTTTAGTTGGTGTTCCTATCCAGTTGAGATATCGTGTGAGCTTCGTGGAGATATAGGTCTTGCCTCGAGCTGGTAAACCCACCATGATCACCATCGTGGGGGAATTGGTAAACTGCGGTATGGATGCTGAAAGACAAACAGACCCTCAAAAGCTTATCCTCAGATTCATATGCTCTTCTGGTATTAGGTCAGAAATGGAGAGTTGTAAAGAACATCTCTCCCACCATTACAGTAAGAAAAAAAGCTGGGAAAGTGAAAATTAAGAACTCTTCTTGGACTTCTCAGAAAACTGAGGCTGCAGTACCCCAAACCTGCAGAAACAAGCATCCTCAAGGGAGCCACAGGACCAGGCATTTGTTTACCGGGTGTAGATACCACTGAACAACATACAAACTCATAAGAAGATTCAGCTAAAAATTATTAATGAATTGCTAAAGGCTGGTTATGGGCTCGTGAAAATGTGAAGCCTGTAGGGGCTGCATAAGCAGCTTTGCACCCCTTTGCAGTTTTCCTCCAGGAACTCCTCCAGGTGCTGACAAGAATGACTAAGAAGAATCCTGAGAAAGATATCCTGTAGTTCTGGCTTGGGGAGAACAGTACAATAGCCATTGCTGAAATTCTGCACAGACTATTTTTCCTATATTCTCTATGAAGCAAAAGCCTTACTATTCAGGTAAAAGAAACAAAAACTATAGTTTGAAAGTACTGGGAGAAACTCACTGCAGCTGGCAGAGAAAAATGGCCAACTTCACTGAAACTCTGCCCATACCAATCTACCTTATCTTCCCTAAGGGAAAAAAGTCTTGGTTTTCAGAAGAAAGGGCAACGGAAACTGAGGGCACTGGTGAAAACTCACTACATCTGGGGGAGAAAATTGAAAAAAATATGTTCTAACCCGGGAGGGGCAGGAAAATGTGCTAGGCCCACCTAGGTTAGAACATAGGAAGAAGGGCAGGAACACTTGTGAAGGTCACACCTCCAACACCCAGGGTAAGCCTGCCTCAGACTGAGACTCAATCAGAATAGCAGAGAAATGTCCCTGGTCCCCATTCCCCCACTACGAGGCTAAAAAGCATCAGTAAAAATAACAGTGGAATACATTTATAAGAGATATACTATCTCCAGGGTGCAGCACAAGAAGAAGAATCAAGGCAAGGAATAAAAACAACGTCTAAAGAGAAAAACAATCATTAGGACCAGAATCAGTTATGACACAGATATTGGAAATATCAGACAAGGAATTTGTTTATTTATTTGGATTATTTTACTTTCGTTTTTTACATTATAGATCCAGGGGGTATATATGTATGCTTGTTACATGTGTAGTTACATGTTACATGTTTGATATATGTTATATATGTAGGTATTGTGTCATGGTGGGGTTTGGGCTTCTAGTGAACCCATCACCCAAATAGTGATTATAGTACCCAATACTTAGTTTTTAACTCTTTCTCCCTCCCTCTGTTCCCTCTTTTGGAGTCTCTTTTGTCTATTGTTTTCATCTTTATCAGCTAGGAAATTTAAAATAGATATTATTAGTATGTGAAAGGCTCTATTGAAAAAGTTTATCGCAGGATCAGATAGGTAATTTTGGCAGGGGTGTGAAAAGTGTAAGAAAGAATCATAAATGGGAGAGAAAAACACACAGTAACAGATATGAAGACTGTCTTTGATGTGCTCATCAGTAGACTCTGCACAGCTGAGAAATCAGTGAACTTGAAGATAGGTCACACAAAACATCCAAGAACTACAGGACAATATCAAACATTATAACATATATGTATTTAGAACACAAGAAGGGGACGAAAGAATAGGCAGAAGAGACATTTGAAGAATAATGACCAAAATTTTCCAATTTAATGACTGACACCAAACCACAGATTCAAGAAGCTCAGAGAACACCAACCAGGGTAAATACCAAAACCAAACCAAAAACCACACCCAGACATATCAAATTCAAATTGCAGAAAATCAAGACAAAAATAAAATCTTGAAGACAGCCAGGAAGAAGGTGGTAGGTGGGGAACATCTTACTTACAGAGGAACAAAGAGAAGAATTATACGAGACTTCTTGTCAGAAACCACATAAGCAAAAAGACAGTGGAATGAAACCTTTAAAGTGTTGAAAGAAAAAAATGCCAATCCCGAATTCCAACTTCTGCAAAAATATCCTTCAATAACTAAGACAAAATACTTTTTCAGACAAACAAAAACTGGGGAAACTCAACATGAGTAGACTGCCTTACAAAAAACATTAAAGGAAATTCTTCAGACAGAGGGATATGATACAGGTCAGAAAACTGGGTGTACATAATTAAAAGAAGAGTATTGCAAAAGGAATAAATGAAGAAAAATACAACTTTATCATATTCTTAATTGTTCTAAAATATAACTGATTGTTTAAAGCAACAATAGTAGCAATGTGTTATATGTTTATAGCATTTGTAAAAAAAAAAAAAAAATGGAATACCACAATGACACAAAGAATGGAAGGAAGGAATTTGGGATAGCCTTGCACCACACATGAAGCAGTATAGTGTTATTTGAAGGTGAGCCAAATTATATAAAAATGTACATTGCAAACTTTACAGAGACCACTAAAAAAGTTTATTTAAAAGGTACCTAAATAATAAAAACATGAGACAAAATGGGATCACACAAAATGATCAAATAAAATAATGAAAGGCAGAAAAAAGAGGGAAAAAGGAAACAAAAGCCAAATACAATAAATGGAAACCATCAAGAACAAATATAATGAAAAGAAAACAGAAAGATGGTAGATTTTATTCTAACTATATTGACAATCACTTTAAATGTGAATTGACTAAACATTCCAATTAAAGACCAAGGTGGTTAGATTAGATTTAAAACTAGAATCCAACTACATGCTGTTTACAAGACATATATAGTTGGGTTCAATTCTCAGACCTTTATCTCTCACTAACTCAAATATAAAACTCTGACAGAATGCATGGACACCTATATGAAAATGGAAAGGTAAATCTGGTGTCAGAGAAGGCACCAGAGTTTGAAATACCAACTAAGCAACTGCAAATTCAACATTACTTTTCTCCCGTTCGGTATTATGAGCCTGAATTCAACATGGTGTGTAATCCAAAATGAGCACTGTTTAGCAGACAGAGATGCAGAAGTCTTGGAGTTTTGGCTCAAGGAGTGTAAAGAGAACTAAAATTCAGAGAGAGTCAGGGAAATCCCTTGGGTTTTTATTTACTCCTTCTTTGGTCCCACAGTGGACGTAGTAAAAGCAAAGGTGGCTCAAAATCAATAGTGGCCCAGGATGACACCTTTATACTAGTTTTTCCTCTGTCTCTCTCTTTGTCTCTCTCTCTCTTTCTTGTTCTTGCTCTCTCCTCCTGCTACTTGTTTCTGGAAATGCTACAACTATGACAGTGGGTAGTTTTTGAAAAGAATACAGAAAATGAGAGCCCAGGGAACTGGAAAGTACTGAAAAGGTAAAGGAGAGGGAAGAGTTTTGAAAAAGCAACAGTGTATAATTGATTTGAATCCCTGGGCTTACCTCTGACTTGTGACTACTTTGATCTTCATTAGCATACAAAAGATTTGGAAACTCAACTAGAAAGTAGACCTCCCTCAAAGTCTCAGACTGACCACTAGATGGTACACACGCAGGACAGACCTAAATAGTACTACAAACGGCTTGAAAACTGAATTGATGTTGGAACCAAAATACGCAAAAGGCTAAAACAAAAATATAGACCTTTTTCATAGGATATAAACAAGGATATAAACAGAATCTCAAAACAATACTCACAAACTACAATCAATCAGTATGCAAATAACCATAAAAATGTCAATTCACATGGAAAAAACCAATAGACATGAATGATGAAATAAGACATTAAATTATCTTAAATTAGCTATTATAAAAATGCTTGAATGAACAATAACAAGCAATCTTGGAAAAAATATTTAAAACAGAAGCACTCAGTGAAGAAACAAGATATAAATAAGAATCAAATGGATATTTTGAACTAAAAATATAATAGCTGAAATAAAAACTCAGGAACAAAAGACAGAAATTTCATAGGTATTACAATGACAAGAGTATATAATAGCAATTCTAAACACATAAATTTGATAACATAGATGAAACAAATGCCTCAAAAAGCACAAACTGCCAAAACTTATCCAAAATGTAAAAAAAAATCTAAATCCTTCTATAAATATTACTGAAATTGAATTTGTAATTAAAAATCTTCCCCCAAAATACTCAGGTCTAGATGGTTTCACTAGCAAATTTTACCATACATTTAAAGAAGAAATAGCATCAATTCTATATAATCTCTCCATGAAACTAGAAGACAGGAAATTACATATCACCTTATTTTGTGAGGCCAGCATTACCCTGACATAAAAACCAGAAAAATAAATGACACAAAAAAAGAAAAGCACAAATCAATATCCCTCATGAGCATAAACATAAGAATCCTATAAAATACAAGTGAAATTTGGCCATATATAAAATAAATAATTCATATACCACAAGAAAGCATGGTTTATCTCAGGAATACAAGTCTGGTTCAACATATGAAAATGGATCAAAGCAATCAATTCTAAAGATGTAAAACTCCATGGTACAGTTTGAATGCATCCTCCAATGTTCATGTGTTGGAACTTAATCTCCAATGCAACAGCATTAAGAGGTAGGACCTTTAAGAGGTGATTAGGTCATGAGGGCTCTACCTTCACGAATAGAGGTTTCTGCCCTCATGAATGAATTAATGGCATTATTGATGGAATGGTTTAGTTAACTCAGAAAACAGTTCCTGATAAAAGGATAAGTTTGGCCCCATCACTCGTGTACACAGGCACGCACCTAAGTACAGTACTCTCTCTTGCCCTTTCACCTTCTACCATGGGATGATGCAGCAAGAAGGCCCTCAAGAGATGTGGCCACATGATCTTGGACCTCCCAGCCTCCAGAACGGCAAGAAACAAATCTCTGTTCTTTATAAATTAGCCAGTCTATGGTATTCTGTTTTAGCAGCACAAAATAGATTAAGATGCCCCAAATTATATTAGCAGATGAAAAAAAAAATCTTTTTACAAAATACAATATCCATTCAAAATGAAACTCTTAGCAA